TACTCAAGCAAACTCCTCCAGTCACAGCAGATTCGCACAACTTCTGATCGAGCAGTGAGGTTATGAATCCACTTTTTTTATTATTGACACTGTGTGATGTGTAAATGTTAAGTCTGAGGAAATTAAACAACACGTTTTGCAGCGATGGTCCCTTTGGGGCTGAGGAAGAAGGAGTTGACACCGTTTTACCCACAGACTTCTATTTATAACCTCGACACGAATGAGGAAGATGCTATGATATAAATCTCTTTGCAAATAAATGCACTTTTCATATCAGTTTAAAGAATCAACGGTGGCTCGAAGTGAATGGCTGTTAAACAGTACTTGGATAATTTAATTGAGCATTTTCTTTCATTGCACATAATTTTGCTCTCAGAGTGGCAATTATGTGCTTGAATGCATTTTCAAATACATTCAGGGTATTATTTTTCCTTATTGCGATGCTGCCAACAAGATTGCTCGGTGTCAACAGCAGAAAGTCGGCCTCTGAATATATTTGGGAGGCTTTGTGGAGCACCGTTGCATAGCGCAGGGATGCAAAGAGGGAGAGGGAAGAAAAGAATGAGAGGAGAGGAGAGGAGAGGAGAGGAGAGGAGGGGGAGAGCATTGGGGGAAATAGTGTGAGCAAAACCTCCCATCTTTCCAGGCGTCAATCCCGAATCCTCGGGAACCTGACAGCAATCCTCACTGAAACCCAGCGGACAAAAAAAAAAAAAAAAAAGTTGTGGAATATCGATTCTCTGCGAAAATACCCTGGGAAATAATTCCGGCTAAAGGTGGGAAAAGATCTTGCACCGCACAAACCTGAGCAGGGAAGGGAGCGGGGGTCTACCACCAGGACCGTGCAAACCCACAACATGAGCATCAGCAAAGGCACCGATCGGATCCCCTTCGACCCGCACAGTGTTGGGAATCCAACCCGTCCCCAGGGGCTGCTGCTCACCCGTCCCATCCCGTCAGGAGTTCTTGCGGTGACCGCTCTACGCTGAAAAGTGTCCAGGATCCCCGCAGCGAGCCCACAAATTGGGCGATGCGTGCAAAGGGAAAACTGGTGGTAAGATGGACAGCCGTGGGTTTCAGAGACCGTTAAAAAAATAATAATAACCCAATCTATAAGCTTTATTACGCCGCCTGCGTTAGCGAGAACCCCCCCCCCAGCTCGACTGGACCACCAAATTGGGAGCGACAAAGTTCCCGACTTTCCACGCCGCTGAAGAGCTCCCAAGTGTGCAACCCGGTGAATGCGCCTGAACCCTGGGGTGCAACCGGTCAAATGGGCACTGCTCCTGGAAACAGGGAGCCCTGGACACGGCAAAGCGCAGGCGAAGGCTCTGCTGGAGACACTCCGGGGGGCGCCCTCCCAATAAATGCAAGTTGTTGGCTGTTGCTTGCGTGAATGAAGACTTTTTTTGTTTTTTCTTGGCCTGACGAAGTTTGGGAGCTCCTCTGTGAGCGAGAGTTGCTGTCCAAGTTTGCTCGGTTCAGCAGCACAGCCCGTGCGGCACCGCCGAGCCACAAGATGCAACCTTCTGTGAACGCAAAGCAATCTGCAGGATCTCAATCTGTCACTGTAACCCGCGCCAGTCAACTCGTTGGGTATGAATGACTTGCTGATAATAAGAAGCACAGGCACCTCCCTGTTTCATGCAGCCTTTGGTCGCATATGTTCATCCCACCCACGATAACCTTCAATCCGCTTCTTAAATAGATGCTGTATTTCAATAGACATCTCCAGGAGTGCCGGACAGAGGGATGCTTTGCTTTTCTGTCAATCGTTTTCACAGGTCTTCTTTCTTGCTGAGCCCGTCTCGTTATTTTACCCTCTCGTCAATGTCTCCCCTCCCAAAGAGCAGGAGAAGTGACCAAAAGCAAACGGGCAACGAATGGGAAAGCGATAGATTGAAGGAAAAATAGCTGGCATATTTAGCATTTTTACCCAGGACACCAGGGTATAAAAAGTTACTCTTCACTTCCTCGGTATAGAAATTAAGAATCTTCTCCCACCCCCAAGTTTTGTTTTCTCTTGTATAAGCATCATGGCATCTCGCTCTACCCATGTATTAACCCAGTATCTCCTTCAAGTCGACTTCTTATTTTAGTCCTTGGGCTTTTTAATTCTGATTACTCTTTCTCCAGGTTCTGTGCCTTCTGAACATCCAGGATGCAAACCATGGTGGCGGGGTTCGTGAAGTTGGAGGAGGATCAATATGTATTGTGTGGAATCAAATAAAAATGCACCCGAAGGAATTGCTTCTCAGAGAATGTTTTACATTTGTAGCCGATGTGGATCCAGAGGTGGGGCAAAACCAAAACGTTTCTATTAAAACAAGGAATGCGGACAAGATGTGGAGGGGCTGCGTGAAGTTATACAAGGAACCTAACCGGGGCGCTACAGACTCTCTATTACCATTGACACGAAAAATCTTCTTATCATCATCCATCACTGAACAGCCAGTGACCGCATTTGTAAACCACCAAATGATCATATGAACCGAGTGCCTATGTCATACACGTGTTTATATCCCAACTGTATCCATGCAGCATAGAGCAGGTTGTTGATATCTGGGAGTATCAATTTAAAACAACAGACTTACTTACTTCTTCCTATACCTGAATTATGCCCTTGATGCTGAACTGTGACGGGGAGTTAATGACACAATTGATTCATGATCTTGGAATACATAGTGTGCGCGTACATCCAGAAAACACCCTATAAAGTTCTGCTTATGCTGCATTTGAAGCCCTCAAATAAGGCACAACGTAAGGGCACCTGAACGGAGTCCAGTTCAGCTCAGCCCAGGAAAAGAGCTGCGGTCACTGCACTTACAAGGTGAGGTTTGGAGTGGAAACAAGCTCTTTCTCTCGCACAACCTCATCCTATTTTTGCCTGTGGGTGTCTGCCGTTGAGCTCTGTGACACTGTGTTGTGATTCGGACTAGAACTTATTGGTTCTGACTTCTTTCTAAGACTCTGCACTTGTTGCCACCAAATTAACTAACCAGGGTTGGACGAAACCCTGAAAGCCATTAATCAGGAGGGGAGAAAAACAAATAAAGTGACAAAAAGGTCGGTGGGAAACGACAACTTTACAGGTTCGGGGATCAGAAGAGAGCAGTGGCACAGCTGCACTATTGCGCATCGCAATGTTTTGAGTCCTGCAAAATAGCCTGGATTTCCGTCCTCCTGATAATACTCCAAAACGTTGTGTATAGATAGATCAATGCAATTGAAAGTTGTGGAAAAATGGGACCCCAAAGTGTTACATTGCTAGCGGATGCGGGGGTGGGGTGGGTGTGGGGAGGGTGTTATAGTTGTTCCCATCGGATGTTTCGCCTTAGATCAGGCCAACTCTTGGGAGTCTGGAGAGAGCAAGTCAGGATGTGAGATTTACAAACCTTTTTTTTTAACCTGTCAACACATGATCGATTCGCAGAAGTTAAGACTCGAGGTTCATGTCTAGCAATAAGAAGCTATGATTCATCGCCCCAGGATTACCTCGCTGGCCACCTTTTGCGCATTTCAGTGAGATGACATCATTATTATTGGTGATTGCTGTAATTTGGAAAGGAGAGAGAGAGAGAGGGAGGGAGGGAGGGGGGTGGGGGGGGTTGTGAATCCATCTGCTGAGTGTCACTTACTGCAGTGCCTTGTTCCAAACACCAATCGTTCTACCGCCTTTGGTGCAGTAAAAACGATGACCTCGCCATCACAAGACATGTCCCCTTCTCACTCACAAGCGCTACCAGCACTGCTTGGTTTGAAACATCAAAACATTGGAGGTAGGGAGGGAGGGAGCAGTATTTACCCCCCACCCGTTCTCTTTTAGGCGTATCAATTGCTGTCAAAAGTTAACCCCCACCCCCTTCCTTCCTATTGCACAAAAAGCACAACATGCATCTGTTGAAAACTATGTGGCGTACTTCCTTGACCATCTCGCCATTTATTGAGACGTTTGCATTGATTATTTTGCGCGGTCACTTTATCCTTATCGTTCGTTGCATTTACACCCGAGGTAAAGGCTACGTTTGCTATTACATGGCTTTTGTTTACATCGCCAACTCCCCTCTTAAAGCGCTCTTGGTCCATTGTTAACTATGTGAGAACACCAGACGTGTCTTCAAGAGGGTAACTAAGGGTTAACATGAACCCCGTTAGCACTTTACAGACACAAGCGAGGTTTATATGTGTTGAGTGGGCACCAGTGTCTTGTGGAGCCCTGTCTGCTCCGGTGCTCTGTGCATGCAACAGGGCAGAAGTTCAGAGAGACACGGCTGAGACAGACTTAGTGGAGTTGTGATGTGCTGAGGATCGCTGTCCGTGCAGCACCTCTCCTTCACATCACAACACGCGCAATAACACAGACCGTATTCGCATGTGCGTTTTTGTTTTTTGTTTAAATATAAACAAAAGCTGTCGGTCAGCAGAGGCCGATCCCCGGTCTCAGCCTATGTGGGTCCACGATTCTACAAGTTGATACTCACCTCACACCTGGTTGCCCGTCTCAACAACTGAAAGGCACCAATTGTACCCTGTACTTTGCCACCGCCTTTTCAACAAACCGGTGTGTATACGTACAAAAGCATCTGTTTTATTTTTGTTTTTAAAAAAAAGCGTCAGGGGTTTGTTTGTTTTTTTTTTGGGGGGGGGGGGGTAAAAAGCACGAAATCCATCCTCTTGCTTCCCAGATTTGGGATTTAGATTTGGATGAAGGCTGAGAGGGACTCGCATCGCAACCCATCATGACTTGAATACATATAGTGAGTGTGTGTGTGTGTGTGTGTGTGTGAGTGTGTGTGTGTTTTGCCCAACGTCGGCTTAAAGAGCAACACTGCGTGTGAGAATCGTGTAAGATTGCCTCCGCCGCCGTTTTAACCCTATAAACAGATAGAGAGACAGTGACTCCATCCACCACCCCCCCCCCCCCCCCCCCAACCCCCAACTCCCCAACCCCCTCTGCTCCCGGATCGTTGCAGTCTGTACACTTTGCAGCTTTTCCTTACCTATAGTTGTAATCACAGTAATGGCAAAATAAAAGGATCCGGCGAATTTCCACTGAACTCCAGCCCTGTGGGGCTCCAAATGCATGATGGTCGTCTCCAGCTGCCTGTAGTCTTCGTCGGTGATGTTGTACTTGCTCCTGAGCCCCTTCTCCTGCGTCCTCAGCTTCACCGCCTCCTTCATTTCAAACTCCGACTCGAGCGCATCGAAGACGGCGGCTCCCACCAGCAGGTAAGTGAACGTGCAGATGATGAGGGACAGAGTTCGCACGTTCTGCCGCTTCATGGCCTCCGAGAAGCGGCGTGTGAGCGGCTCATGTCCGCTCTCCCTCCCCTGTTCCGATCGGCCGAGGTCCCGGGAGAAAGCCCGGGCGCAGCAGCAAGTATCCCGGCAGCGGTTGTTGGAGTTGTCCGACGCGCACTGCTCGTCGTCTCCGGCTTTGTCGGAGGCGGACAGGCAGAGCAGACTGCTGGATCGCCGGGACCACGAGCCCTGCAGCCTAACTCTGCGCAAGACCTGACCAAACCAAGTCGTCCCAGTGCGCAGGGCCATCAAAACAACACGTTCGAGGTGGGGGGAAAAATATGGGGCTTTTTTTTTTTCTCTCTCTCTCTCTCTCTCTCTCTTTCGCTCTCTCTTTCGCTCTCTCTTCCCTTTTCTTTCTTTCTTTCTTTTTTTTTTGGTGCTGAACGGTCGTCTCTCTCTCGCTCTCTCTCTCTCTCTTTCTGTGTGTGTGTGTGTGTGTGTGTCGCCGCACGCGCACAGAGGAGAGGATGCCACCCCCAAACCCCCCCAACCCCCCCCCCACCCCCACCCCCCAACCCCTACTCCACCCCCAACCCCCCAAAAAAAAAAACAGTTACCCCCCGAAACCCCGCGGGTGGAGAGGAGACGCGGTGGCGGGTGTGGAGCCGCTCACTGATGGCTTTGGATGGCAAAAGCCCATTAAAGTTGGGTTGGATGTAAATGCCGCCCCCGACTTCTCACTCACTCTCTCTCTCTCTCTCTCTCTCTCTCTAACCACACCCACAGCAGTGGGATCACAGCCACACCGACTCCATGGCTCACTGCTTATTTATTATTTATTTATATATATATATATATATATTTGTTTAAGGGGAAGGAAGGTATTTTCAGATCTCTTTTTTTTTAGCAAAGACCCGGACCAGTCGGGGGGGGGGGCAATGGCCACCGATGTCATTCACCCCTTCCCTGTGGGGAAAACCAGCTCAGCTCAGAGCAAGTCAAGGCTGGAAGGAGATGACATGAACCCGCATACAAGGAGGGTGATCCAGGGGCGAGAGGGTACCGCGGGGACAAATACAGGAGGACGAGGAGGAGGAGGAGGAGGAGGACATCACTCTGAAATCTTAGCACCTTTTCGTTTCAAAATGGATAATATTTCTGAAACAAGAAGTATAACACCCACTGCATTCAAACTTGCTACAACACCCACCCATCACCACCCCCCCCCCCCCCCACACACACACACACACACACCCACACACCAATAATCTGCCTCCATGTCTCACAAACACATGGGTAACCCTGGTCCATATGGGCTTTGGTGTAGATCAGTAGTGAATAATGTTTGGATGCTTCACTGGTGAATACTGGACACGGGGTCGTTCTCTTTTAACTTGGATTTTTGTGACTTTTGCATTATTTTGGATTAAAATCTCTCCCTTGTTATCGGCAGATTGATGGTGACAATGTCATTGATTTATTTCCCTTTCCAAGTCGGCGGCGAACCATTGATTTGCAGCATTTGCGATGATTCAGCCCCGCAGTATGAATCGTTTCATACGGTGGAAAGTATTCCTCCCCATTCCTCCCCAACTTTCAGGATCTTAACCATGCACAAAACGGAGCAACTGGGAAACGGTTCAACCACGAGCTCCCAAAGTGGAGCGGTATAATATCCAACATAAATGGCGCAAATTGCAAGCCAGAAAAGTGCGTGTAAGGTCTAAAAGCCCAGTGAATAACACCGCGATCCCAGGAGGTAGGAAAGCTGTGCAATAATTATTCACAACTCAATACAGAACGACACTGAGCCAATTCATCCCCCGCTTTCATTGCACAGAATTCCCTCTCCCAGTTGCTCTGCTATCCTCTTGCGCTGCCACTTTCTTTATTGAAGCCGCTCCTTCCCAGTGTGACATTAACAGGACTTTAGTGATTTTAGAAGTGTGATCGCCCCCCACCCCTCCACCCCCGTGAATTTAATAGTGTTTTCTTTAACATCTTGTTGCCGACCCGCGTTTGGGATGAGGACCACCACGACTCGCAAGGACCGGACTGGTCAATTTCTCTCCGGGCGCTTCACACGAAACCCGACGCAGGAGTCATCCTGATTCCAGAAGAGCAATTCTTGGCAAACTGAGAAGAGCAGATTAAGGTCTCCGGAGAGATTTGGACACACGCGTCTGCGTGTAACACGCAAAAAAAAAAGTGGGGGCTGCGGTTTGGGATTGATTTGCTTAACGGGTGTTAAATGAAGCGTAGGAGGGGGGGGTGTGGGGGGTGGGGGGCGCAGCACAGGGAGGGAGATGTGGCTCCTGGGAAGGCGCTTAGAGGGTGGGACCACCTTGATGTGTGGTTTGATGGCAACGATGCAGGAAAGAGACATGAGACACCGTCTCTCCTGAACTGTCCGTGGTCCTGAAAGCCGCCAACTGGGCTGAGCTGCGGGGAGGGCTTTCCCTGCCGTGCGTCATTCATTGCCTGTTGAAGACATCGCCTTGGGTTCTGGTTGAAATCAGGAGACCCTTTCGGGGGAGTCAGGCATGTTAATGTAGCAAAGTCGTGTCGGCTTTCAGTCTGCTGAGTCAGCCCCTGGTAAAGCTTTTCAAACACACACACACACACACACACACTCTCTCTCTCTCTCTCTCTCCCTCTCGTTGCTCAGTGAAAGTTCAGTGAATCTTAAATCGCGTCCTTCTGGGGGAGCGCGAAGCATTTGAAACCCATGTTTAAATGCTGTGCAGCTCCTCTGATCAGTCATTCAGTTCAAAGCGTGCATTACCACACACACACACACACACCAACACACACACTCACACACACACACACACACACACACACTCACACCCACACTCACACACACACACACTCACACCCACACTCACACCCACACTCACACACACCCACACACACCAACACACACCCACACACACACACACACACTCACACACCCACACCCACACACACACCCACACACACCCACACCCACACACCCACACCCACACACCCACACACACACACACACACTCACACCCACACACACACACCCCCACACACACACACACCCACACACACACACACACACACACTCACACCCACACTCACACCCACACTCACACACACCCACACACACCAACACACACACTCACACGCACCCACCCACACACACACACACACTCACACACACCCACACCCACACACACACACCCACACCCACACACACCACACCACACACCCACACCCACACACAAATGACACTAAAACAATTACAACGCTTTACGTTATTATAGAGTGGAACTTGTGTTTGATCCGATCTGCCACGACTTGATCTGAAATCGCTCACTGGCTTTGAACGATTGAAATAAGAGAATGAATTGACTTGTGCTTGATACCAGCTCACACACCAACCTGTTCTAATCCCACTCCAACTCGCACCAGTCCCGGCTCCACCCTCACTGCCACTGCCGAGGGGGAAAAGAATAAAGTGTGTTGAGATTTGTTTTGCAAATTAAAAAAAAAAGGACTTATTATTCCAAACCAAAAATGTTGTTAGAAATTAGACAAGTCCACACGCAGACGTGCAATTTATATTTGAAGAATAAAAGAATAAATGCAGAGTGCTGGTCTACATGGGGTGTGTGGGGGGGTCAGTGAATCATTTAATTTGAATTCTATGAGTAAGTAACTTCTATGCTCTTCCCTTTTCCTGGAAAACACAGCAGCATACAGTCTGCGATCCCAGTTACCCAAACCCGGAACAGTTAGTCACACCGCGAGTGTTCAGCCTCTGTTGGGTTGCACCGCGTCTCTGCTAATGTGAGTGGCTCTGCAAAACTAATCACTTTACACCTCTCATATCTATTTCTGTCCGCGGTTTCATGCAGTTCATTGGGGACCTAACAACGCGCAGAACCCGATTGTTGTTGCATTAATAACTGGAAGGTTTTGCAATTAAATGACTGCCGAGGGTTCTCGCAGGTCATTGTTATGACAGCCATCATTTCAAGCATGGTAAGAGCATTGCTATTTATAGTCCTACAGACTTAATGCATGCTAACGCATTGCACCCGAGCTCAGGGAAATCTCTCTCACATTTTGTTTCTCCGTGGCATCTTTATTGGGCGAAAACGGGTGTGACATTTGACGATAAATAATACATTTTGTTTTAAAAGGAGAGTAAAAGTCCCCTGGAATCGGTTTTTAAAGCGATTTGTACTATACCTTCAGCTTAGTCTGTAATCTGGCAAAATGAAAGGTAACTATACAGATAGAAATATAGTTGCATAGAATTGTGCGTAATGCAATGTAAGTTTTTTTTTAATTGATGGATAGGGGAGGGGGATAATAACTAGCGCTGGGACCCAGGTACCAATAGCACAGTATGGCGTGCTTTGAAAAGTGCCACCCTTTTCACATTGTTTCCAAACACTGGCATCCTAATGCATTCTAACACAGGGTGTGCATCTCGGTTATTTGCCTACACAAGATCTTCGTAAGCAAAATGATCAACAAGTAAAGAGGGGGCTGGGCTGGGAAGCCATTCACTTGACAAATAAGTGTTCGCACTCAAAGGAGGACGTTAACTGGAGTCCCCTGTGAGACAGACTGAACCTTTCCGATAATGAGCCAGAATGGCGAGTTGCAGAGGAGATTTGCAGTTAATGTCTCTTGTTAGTGATAGGACTTTATTCTGCTGTCATGACATTGCATTCCGAACCCTCTTCTTGTACAATCATTAGAAAGGCAGGCAGATTATTTTCCAATGTGGAGAGCTCCTGTGGTGAAGGTTAGATTTCGGTGTTGCACATTGCTACTCATCATTTGGAACCAACGACTTCATTAGATATTGTAAGTTTTACACGTCGCAGAGCATCTAAGGGAATCAGCGTGACTCAGTGTCTGTGGCGACTGAAAAACAGGAGATAGGGGATGTAAAGTGTGTGATCATGATTCATTTTACTTAGATTATACAATATTACTCGCCCGACCCACGAGTCAGATCTGGAATACTTTGGCACTTGTTGCGCCAGATTTTCTCCTGGGCTCCACAGACTGGGCTGAGGGGAAGACAGCTGTTTTATCATCATAGTTCTGCAGTATCAAAACTGCATCACTTTCATGCCATTGCATAGTCAAGTGATGAATGGACTGAGCGCCAGCGGGTACCACTCAAACTCAGTTGATTTCCAAGCCGACTATTTTATGCAATTTTCTCTCAGCTTACTACACCAGCATATACTTTCTAGGGTTGTCTCGCTTGAAGGGCGCTATGTAAATCAAATGCAAACTGTTCTTGTACCTTA